TTTTGAATATTTTAGGCATGGGCTGGCTCGAATCGTTATTATTAAGGAGAGAGATATAAACCTTACAAGAATGGTTAGAGTCACTTAACTCACACGATCAGGTTCGAAAGGTTATAATATCTTTTAGAACATAGAATACCATAGAAACTTATTGAACAACGTCTACCATTGGTTTGCGAGAGACAAAGGAGACGAGAGGCAATATCTTTCCATTTTCCTCTTCTTTTATTTAGTTATGCTAAAATTATAAAGAAAATTCGAGAGAAATTCCTTTATTTCCCCTCACAATAGAGAATCTCAAGGGCTATAAAGGCTATGGTCACCAATAATTTGTAGGTTTAAGTGGAAGTAGTTTAGTTATTTTTAAATAAAATGTTGAGTTTGAGTTTTATAAATAAAAAAATAAACATTAGAAGAACTTTTTTGCTAATTGAATTTGACACGACTCGATTTCGAATTAATTAAAATTCAATATATTCGTAGGTACCATGAGGTTAATATCTAAATAAAGATCACGGTCTCCTAGTGTTTTGAAAAAATATCAATATATATGTATATTAGATTTATTATTTTATAGTTTAGATGATTTTAAATTGTAAAATAAAAATTTTTAAATAAAAAAATACTTAATATTAACGAACTACATCTTTCATTTAATGATCATTATTTACAATTTTGAAATAGTTTAGACGATAAAATAGTTTTTTCATGTATTTTTATGAAAATTTTGACAAATATATTAATATATATTTATAAAAGTATTTAAATGTGGAAATAAACAAATACAGGGTCTAAAATTTTAGTTATTAAGAACCTAAATCTAATCTCAAAAAATTTATTTGAAATAAAAGAAAATAGTTTTTATTAATAAGAGTATAAAGCAATCATTACAATTTTTTGATATTTTATATTAATTTTTCTATACAACTCCGAACTTGGGTTGGCGGAATGGAGGGAGAGGAGGTAAGGGGAGGAAAAGGGCGATAGATATTAAAAGAACGGAAAAGTGCACGTCAGTTCTACCTCTCAAAAAAAGTTTGGAGTCCCAAATCAAAACGACGTCGTTTCTCTTAATACTGCCCTTACTGTTTTTCGCCCCTTTCTGGAATCACCTCCATCTCCATCTCCTACTCCCAGCCTGATTCCTTCCCCACCCGCGCCCACTCCAATCTTCGCTATTTCCTTGCCAACTACTCCTTCGTCATGGCCGCCGCTTGCGCCCTATCCCTCTTCACCACCTCGTTCTCTCTCGCTCTCCTTTCCATAATCGTTACACTCTAGATCCTCCTCTACTTGTTCAGAGAAGACCCTTTGGTGCTGTGGGGCCATAGCATAAGTGATCAGTGGGTGCTCTTCTGTTTGGTCGGCATCTCAGTCTTGGCAGTGTGGGTGTGCGGCATGGTGGAGAATTTGGTCGTCGGGTTCGGCATTGGATGCTTAGTTTGTGGGTTCCACGTGGTTTTCAGGAAACTTGATGGACTGTACTTAGAAGAGGATGATGCCGTTTGCTATGGTTTGGTACATTGTTCTGGATCTTCAAGTTAGGATATTA